CCCCAAAACCCCAAAACCCCAAAACCCCAAAACCCCAAAACCCCAGAAGGCAGAAGTCAGCTGAAATTTATAAAATGCTAAATATCAAAATAAATACGAATAAAATAGGAGGAAGAAGAAAAGCTTCCAGACAGCCGCTTAGCAAGCATGATAACACTTTTAGTGCAAATTATTTAAGAGGAAATCTAATAAGTATCTGACTGTTCCTAATCTTTAGCAAGACCCAGAAGAGCAGGCACCCCAATTGCAGCCAGGGATACCTTTTCAGCAGGTATTTACTCCTCTCTAAGAGTATTTTAATCAAACATAGACCGTTTCGGGAGCAAGAAGCAGTCAAAATTTGGCCTTATCAGAAGAATTTGCTTATACTCTAGTATGCTGAAGCACCTCAGCCTAATCGATATTAACAATATCACAGAGGAAGAAGATTTTGAACTGAGAAATATCGTTAAAATAATCTTAGACACTAGGAAATAAGAAGCAGCCTGCCTTTGGTAAACAATGAACACACATAAACACCAATGTAAATAAGACAGTCAAGGACCGAGAATTTGGGGATGATCTGAAATAAATTATTTTCTTTAAGCTCCTCGGACAACCACGAGGTTTTCAAATCCCTTGCCAAGAACCTTACCAAGGAGGGTTCAAACCTTGGGAAGAAGAGCACTTTAAGGAACATTAGCTTTTTACAGATTTGAGCTATCAAAATCTCTAAGGCTTCCTGGGAATGTATCGGAAAAGCCATATCAGGGAATAAGAGTATCAAAACTCTAGCTCTTAACGCCTGTGGCGTTAATAACGATGCTTTCGAGTATCTTGTTCCGGCTATGAAGCAAAATAAAAGCATTGAAATCCTTGACTTGTCATGAAACTACATGAGAGATGAAATGAGCACCTTCATCTCAAAAATTATATCATTACAAAGTGAGCGAAGAGACCAAGCAGTATGGTTAGCAGGCCTTCGAGAAGAACTTCCCGAACAAAAAGAGCTAAAATCTGGCCTCAAAAGCTTGATCTTAAGACACAATGACTTCAGTCAAGCATTGTGATCTGATATCTCAAGAGTCCTTTACTTCGATATCTACTTGAAATCGCTGGACTTGAGGAACAACCTTATTGAGGCCAAAGGAATTAAGGAAATGAAGTATTTCCTTAATGCAAATAAAAGTTTGATAAACTTAGACATCAGACAAAACCCAGGTTTATCATCTAAACTTCATAGAACAATAGTTGTCAAGCTCTTACGGAATATAGGTCATGCAAAGAGGACTGCCTCTGATGAAATGAGATGGATGAACGCTGAAGTACTAATCTGAGAGGTTCCTAGGCATTTAGCTCCCAAAATACAGAGAAAAATGAATGAACTTTTTGAATACCCAAGCCAGGTTTTCCAACCTCAAGGAAGTTTGGTCAGTGAGTCTACTAATTTTTCCCAAACTTTCACTAGTCCAACCCCAAAAAGCACTTATTCGAAGTTAATTCACAAAAAGGTGAGGGTGAAAAATTTGAAGACAAGTAAGGAGCTTCTTCATACCTTAGAATCCAAACTCAAGAGATACCAATATTCAAGCATGCAAAAAAGAGGTAGCATAGATCCAAGAGTATATTCCCAGTTTCATTCTACAGCTTCTTCGCCAGAGTATCGCAATGCGAGAGGGCCTTTAAACCCAAAACCCATTTTCAAGAACTAACGGTTTAATAGGGGTTTTGGGGTTTTGGGGTTTTGGGGTTTTGGGG